CATACTGGCTGGGAAATTCTGGGAGTGTGGTCCACACATCTTAAAGTTGTCAAGGTTGAGAAACACTGCCTTAGAGGGTACGACTCTCATTTTTATCAGCTGTTCCACAGTTTTCTTGAGAGACCCAGAATAATTGGCAGAACATCTGAATTATCTTAACAATCTAATCTAAATCCATACACAAAAAAGTTGCAATATGATTAAAATTGCAATAAGCATACAACAGTCTACTTGGAAACTCAAACAAGTGAAGATATAAAAGATATTTCCTGTCTTCTTAAGGTCTATTTTGCCAAGCAAAAAGAAACTGCCTTATTTGCTGGCACAATATACAGTACTGGTATCATAGGGAAACATGTATTGGGGGATTCCTGACTTACGCCTAAGGAAGATCTCCTTGGCTCTCTGCTACAGGACAAATTTTGGGGCTCTCTTTGGTACATTTTCAATGAGGCCAGAATTTTTATCTCACCAGTGGTAAATGTTTATATCCCTTGGAATTTCCTGCAGCGTCAGCATGCTCCCCCATTCTTGCAGCTATACTTCCCCCCTTTGCAGCTGCTGTTCTGAGCAGGCCTCCTTCAGTTATTTTATCTCTCATCAGCAAGAGGATTTATGAGTATGCTAGACCCTGACCTTTGCTCTGGTGGGTGGAGCTTATGCAAACACATACTCATTCAAAAGCTTATGTGATGAGCTTCTTACTTCTTTCTTGTGAGAAGAAATCAGCTGACCAACTCCCTTCTTCTTGATTTCAGATGCTGGCATTATTAATACCAGGCATTTAGAAAATACAGAACAGCTTTCCAGATATCCAGAACAGCTAACAAAGGACTGAGCAATTCTCTTCCTAATATGTGGTTGCTCTTCATTTAGGTTTTTGATTCCTATCACTGACAACAGAGTGGCCAGTTTGGCATCACCAAAACAATGCACACATGCTAATTTATATGTACAGCAGCAGTTAGAAACCGTGGAGAATGGGGGGTTCCCCTTTCTTCCTCTTCTTTACAACTAAAGATTGTGCAAGACCAATCCAAATAGAGGACCATCTTTTCAGAGCTCTTCAAACACAGATCTGTCTGTTGTACAGGGGACCATACCGTCAATCTTCCTGATTTACTGTTCATTCACATATTACTTTGAACTCTGGATCCAAAGGCCATCATAGAGCTCACTTGGTCTGAAAATCCAGGATAAGTTGCATACAAATGGATAAAATGGGTTCTCAGAATTAAACAAGACATGTTTAATGGTATTCCAATAAAATGAGGAAAACTATTTGATTTGAATGAGTGATTTGATGTAGAAAAGCATTATGTGGGGAAGAGTCAAGGATCTCTTCCTTGCTCTCTCTGATTCAAAACACCCTTCCTTCTAAAGCAGCTTTCCAAGTTTCAAAACAGCAACTGGACTACTATTACACTGTTTGTGATAGCCTCTAGTTCAGCTTTCAATGTTGCTTATCTGCAAATGAAAAGAAATCTAAACAGCACTTACTGATTTTACTCTTATTAGAATCACAGAAGAGAAAGAGACATGGTTTGGTTTCAAATCCCTTGCTCTTCTAGATGATCCTCTATAATTCAGATAATACTTTTTGTCAGGTGTGTTATAAGCAGTTTTGATTTCCACTTTACTATTGTCAGTGTGCACCATTATTGACACAACCATCATTTTCAGCTTTCTAGATGGCATGTAAATAGCTGAGCATCTATTTTGGTGAAACAAATAATCACACAGAGAGAGTCTCAGTTTTAAAATGTTATGTAAAATCCTCCCATTAAAGTCTTCTATAAAGTGAGTTCTTAAGATAAAATAACAATCTCCACTATAATTCATGACCCTATGTGATATTTTAAAGTTATCTCCTTTCCAAATCTTCTTTTTCTATTATTTCCAGCTACTGAATCCCACAAAGATAGCAAATATGTTTATTATTAGTCCCCTGGTATATGACCACAACAGTTTGCATTTTTTCACTGCATTCCATTTCTCTTATTTGAGGTCATGGGATCATCCAGTTCACTCTGTATAATTTCTTGATGGTTTCCTGTAGTAATAATACTGTCTCTCTAGATAGGGTTATCAGTAAACTCCCACCTCTATTCTACAGATGTTAAT